GCCCAGTTGCCTCATTCACGGTCACTAACCTGTGGTCACGTGCCATGGGATTTTGCCTGGTACTGGGCTTCCCCATTGAAGGTCTGGCCCTAGACTCCCAAGCAATAACTTGCACCTACTTCTCCCTTCTTTTTGCAAGAGGACAATGACTTTTTCTCAGTGTTGTTCTGCCCAGAGTAAGAGGAGGGGTAGGGTAGTCAATTCCCTGGCCACTGTGTCTGCCTCAATAGTAAGTCACATTTAGAGCCCACCTCCTGCCAAGACCAGCATAGCACAGGGAAAGGACCAAGCTTGTATTTCTGTGGCCTATGTGGTGTATTTATAGCATAAGCCTACTGTAGCTGGTCAGGAAATAATGCCATAATATGTCTGCCTCACCAACATCACAGATCTCTGTTTGGCAATGGAATCTGTGGCCTTGAGGTGTGGCCAGTAAGTTCTGTCTGATGTTAGGTTTCACCATGGTAAGCCTGGCAGTGAGTTCCAATGCTAAGTCTTTCGATTACGTCTTTTCTTACCTGCCAGCAGATTCAGTCTTCTTCCATGTGTGCTGCCCAAGGTTGGAGGGAGGGATGATGAGGAGTACCTTGATTGCCTGTGCCTGGACTGAAGCTGGGTCATACCTGGTGCTCATAGCTAGAAAGCTGCACAGTGTGGGGCATACCCCAGGCCCAGCCATTACTGGTGGTGATGCAGGACAAAACATGAGTCTGTTCCACTGAGGCACAGGTCTCTTCCTGGTGCTGGGTTGGTCCAGAGTCTCTGTGAACTGGCCTGGGTGCAGCGACCATGGGATTGTGGCAAGTATGGGTTTTACCACGGCAGTCCCTACTCTGAGTTCCATGGCAAAGCTTTGTACCTATTTCCCTGTCCTACACATCAAAAGATGGAGTCTGCCTCCAAACTGTGCTGCCTGAGCTTGGGGAAGGGGTGGTGGAGGCATCCCTTGATTGCCAATGCTAATGCAGGTTCAGAAGCTCTGGGGACGGGGGCTGTGAGGCTCTGCCTAGTACTGGGTCTCACTGTATCTGGTACTGGGTTGCAAGTCTAAGGCCTGTATTTTATTCCCTCTCCCTCCCCCAAGCATGAGGTGTCTCTCTCACTGTTTGCAGTTGAGGGGCAGGTATGATACTGGACTTTCCGTCTTCTTTAGTGCAACTTTTCTTAATATTATGCCAACACCAGGTACTGTAATCTCTCATCTGGTTTCCTTAGTTCTTGTGAAGGTAGTTTTGTGTGTGTGCACCTGTACTTTGGGGGGCAGAGCTGGAGAGTCTTACTCTGCTGCCATCTTGCTCTGCCTCCCCTTTGTGAATGCTTTGTGTTGACCTAAGTTTACAACTCATTTGGGTAAATAGTGATGTCATCCAGGCTTGCAGAACAACCACTCCCAAGGAAATGTGCTCCTACCAAGATATATGTACTTTAGACCCAGTTCCTGGGCTTCTTGTTTCAAACATGCAAAATCAAATGAGTTGATGTGACCTTAGAGGTCAAAGAGTCCAATCTCTTTATTTTATATATGGGAAAAGTAAGGCACAGAGAAATTTGTCCATTTTGCCCTGGGCCCCTGACAGTCGGCTACAGTTGGGTATCATTTGGACTGGTCTCTGTTTTTGTGGGCAAACAGAAAGGACAGGTGCTTTCATGCCTCCTCTCTCTTTTCCCAGCAGCTCTAGAAACAGTCTTAGTTTCAACTGCCATTAGCCAGAATGAAACACATACGCATGCGCCTGAGCCAATCATCTGAACTCCAACGGTCTTGTACCAACAGAGTCATCTGCTCATAACTGAAAAAGGAGTAGAGTCAGCCTCTCTGGACCAGACTGAAGGTGGCAGAAGTGGTTTCCCAAAGAAAAATGAAAATGAACAATTACCAGAAGGAAGCAGAAGGAGATGTTACAACACAGGGGAAAATAAAACTTGAGCGTTAGCAGCTGTAGGCCTCTCCACCAACTGAAGAAAAGCGCATTAGAAGACAAGGACATACCACAACTCGATGACATCCAACAGAAAGGGAATTCTGGAATATCTACTGAAAATTTTAAAAGCACATTCCCTTCAACTTGGCAATTCCATTTCTAGGGATCTACATCACTGGGGTGTGGGCAAAGCATTATCTGTAACAGTGTACTGGCACCGCCCCCCAAAAAAAATCTTAACTAAGCTTCTCCAAAAATCTTCACCATAATTGATTTTAGGACTATCAGCAAAAGAGTCTCTACAGAAAAGTTCAATGTAGTTAAACTTCCTATTTTCCTATTGCTCTATTTTATTTGGCTGCTGGCCGGGAAGAAATCAGTACTGCTGAACCCCCCTTTACTTGTTTTTCACAAACATGTATCCAGTATAATAGTTTGTAGAAGTGTGTTTGCAAATGCAAAATGTGATTTTAAAAAAAAATCCTTTAACAAGGCCTCTGGCCTTGAGCTGGGGCTTCACAAAGGTGTCTAAATTTCTAAGATAAGTTACCAATTGGGCTCCATGGTAATAGCAGGCAGGGGTAGGAAAGAAAGGGGAGAAGAAGCTCTCCCCTTCTCAGGTGTTGTCCTTGAAGGGTTAACTTGCCCAGAACAGTGAAAGAAAAGGCTGCTTTTATGTGAACTTCTGCAGACTGTGAACTTCTGAGCCCCTCCCCTTACATGCTGGGTATAAAATTCTGAAACTACCTGAACTTGAGGTTCAGGGGATTAATTGATTACAGCAAAAGCTGTGCCCTCTGAGCCTGGCTGCAGCCAAATAAAACTGTTTCCTGCTATCTTCGGTGCCGTGTCTTGTCTGTCCCTACAACAATAGTAAGGAAAAGAGACAACTTGCGTGTACACCAAGGCAGAGTGGAGAGAAATAGATGATTGTAATTGTTGAGTGAAATGTTACTGCAGGTGCTAAAAAGACTCAAATACATCTGTGTGAAATAATGCGGAAGGCTGTTCAGGATACATCTTTGTGAAAGAGGAAATGTTACCCACATTAAGTACTGAACGATGCATTTTTCTAAAAATAAATGAAGTGCATTTTTTAAGAGAAAAAAAAAAAGAAACTGTTGATACGTATAACCACCAACACCCACAAGTTATGCCTGTGTTTTGTATGCTTGAGAAAAGTCTGAAAGAATTGACAGAAGTTCCACCTACAGTGTAGGAGAGTAAAGTGGAGACCTAAGGGTGGAAACAGGGGTTGGAATTCCTCGTTTTAAATTCAATGCTTCTGATTTTTAAATGCATATGTTTTAGTCAGCCTTTTCACTGCTGCAACCAAAAGACACAAGAAGAACCATTAGAGGAGGAAAAGTTTATATGGGGGCTCCTGGTTTCATAGTTCTCAGTCAACCAGAGTTCTCTGGTCAGCTTCATTGCTCTAGGCCCAAAGTGTGGCAGAATATTATGGTGGAAGAGTGTGGTGAAGAAAAGCAGAGAGACAGCTCTGCTCAGTAAGGACAAAATATAAAACTGGCAGGAATGCCCCCAGGGACCCACCTTCTCCAGCTACACCCTATTTTGCCTACAGTCACCACCCAGTTAATCCCTGATGCACTGATGAGTTTAAAACTCTTAGAATTCAATCATTTCATCTCTAAACTTTCTTGCATTTCTCACACTGGAGCTTTTGTGGGACACCTATTATTTAAACCATAACAGCATATATGCTATTTTTTGTTGAAAATTTTTTAAAAATGTAAAGGGCACTTAAGAATATAGAAGAATCTGATAAAAGACAACTAAAACAGAAGAGAGGGGTTTGAAGAATGTCTGTTATTGTTATCTCCTCCCAGGAGGAGCCAATAAATTAATTCTAGGAGGAAAGGGCTGCATTTTGATCATCTCTGTACTCCTTTCCATTCTGAGTGCTGTATTAGGCACACAGTAGGTGCCCTGAATGTGCTTGGTCTTTATCCTAAAAGCCTCCTCTCAATGACTGGCTCTCCGTCTGAACTTTTGCAAACACTCAAGTCTAGTTTCAGACATGACCCTCCCATCCACTCACACAAAGAAAGTAGCAGATTTTTTAAAAATCCTCCCACAATGAAGTTTACTGGGAATTAGGCTGTGCCCATAGTTCTTCTTGGCCTTGGTTCTTTGTTATCAATGTCAAGAACATGCTTCCAGCTAGGGACAATTTTCTTCCTCAAATTTAACTTGACCCACTTTTTCACCTGTACCTGCCAATAATGCCTTGTTCAAAGATATAAATCAAGCCAGGTATGGTGGTGCATGCCTGTAATCTCAGCAGCTCTGGAGGCTGAGGCAGGAGGATCGTGAGTTTAAAGCCAGCCTCAGCAAAAGCAAGGTGCTAAGCTACTCAGTGAGACCTTGTCTCTAAATAAAATATAAAATAGAGCTGGGGATATGTCTCAGTGGTTGAGTGCCCCTGAGTTCAATCCCAGGTAACCCCCACCCCCCAAAAAGGATGCAAATCAATAAGGAGGGGAAAAAATGACTAAGCTGATAACATTCATCCAAACAGGGAACTCCCACCAGCACAGGACTATGCAGTTCCCCCAAGCAATTAGCTCATCCAGAATCCTGTTGATAATGGACCTGGAAGGAAGAAGGATGGGGATTACAGTCCCTATGTTACAGATGAAGGTCTTGAAGTTACAGAGGTGTGATGACGTGTTAAAGTGTGGTAGGGACAACTGGAGAAATCAATGTACTTGGTGCTATTCTCATTGAATCAGGATGCTGCTATGACACTTAAATGATCCTCTGGTGCTCACACAGCACCTCCAACCAGTTTGAGCGCCCAGCATTGCAGACATGCCAATGTTCCTGCCCAGTTTTGGGGGGGGGGGTGGGAGTTCAGGTAACAAGCAGCTCTGGGGGCTGAAGGCTGGAGCAAAGTCACAGCTGGACCCACCAAACAGGAAGAAGCTGGTTTCTTGCTAAGAAGCATCTGAGGTGGGAAAAACAGAGCTAGTTTGGAAAGTGTCCTCAAAGATCATCTAGCCAACGCCCTCCCTTTACAGGTAGGGAAACAAAGCCCAAGAGAGGAGAAGTCACTTGTCTAAAATCAGGTAGCTGAGTTTATTGGTCATGAACGTGGGCTTCAGTACCTAGTAGGTCAGCATGTGAATCTTGCTCTGCCATTTATACATGGCTTAATAGTGGTTCCCTAGCTTCTTGGACCTTCAGTGTTCTCTCCTATAAATAAAGAAGGCACTCTCTGCCTTACTGAGTTCTGAGGATGAGTTAGTGGTGGTGTGGGAGATGCACTGTCTGCCCCCCACGGTGAGCCTCCCCCAGAGGTGTCTGATCTTGGTAGCATAACCAGGTCTCCTGGATCACAGAGCAGTGTTTCCTTGGGTCCTGAGCCATGGGAACGAGAGGTGGTTCAGCCTTGCTTGGAGAAAGGGAGGTCGCCTTCATGCTTCTTCTGGCCCTCTTAAGAGAAAATAGTGAAACAATAAGCAATACTAGTCACTGTCCCTGGGCTGGGGATGTGGCTCCATGGTGCAGTTCTTGCCTAGCATGTGGAGGCCCTGGGTTCCATCCCTAGCACTGAGGAAAAAAAACAATGGTGACATTATAGAACACCTTATCTTTTAAAAATGTGTTCACTCACCTACACGCACCTCACATCCCCAGGTGATGTGAGGCTGCACTTCTTGACTGCACCCAAGGGGAAGTGGCTCTGCTCAGATCAGGTGGGACAGAATGACAAGCCTCCTGAGAAGTAGATAGTGACCTCCAGGAGGGGTCAGGTGTTGAAAGCAGAGTGCTGCTGCTCACAGAGCTCACCAGAGAGATCATCAGGTCCACGTGGGGGATGAGGATGTAACCTGCAGGTAAGGATACACCTGGTTTCTGGCTTCCAGTTTCTCTGGAGTGGGTACACACCCACAATCACAGAATCCCAGCATAGCACCAGCGTTGAAATAATTTCACAGGACCACTGGGGGAATCTCCTTGCCCTGTTTGTCACTCTCTATGGGGACTAAATATATTGGCAGAGTAACTTCAGTGTGGCTGTATATACTGAAGCAGGGATTTGATAAAACTGAAAGCAACATATCATTGAACTTTGTCTTATTTTTCAAAATTTCCAAGTAAATGGGAATCACATGCCTCAATCTATTCTTGAGCTTTCTCTCCCTCCAATCATGGGGGACTATGTAGGAGTGAGGGACCTACATAGGAAGAAAAGGACATGAATGTCTCTTTAACTATCACGTGCCAAGAAAAGCCTGGTGTTCATGTCCTCTCAGTCAAAGTGACAGTAAAACATTGGCTATTCGTGACTATGGAACAAGTCACTCTGCATGTCTAAGTCTGTCTGTACAGGGATGAAGATGAAGACGACGAAGTAAGGAAGTCTGGGCTGAAATGGAAAATTCTAGGGTTTATGTTCAGTGGCCTAATATAATCTTTACGATGCTTTATTTTTGTTTACTCCTGGTTGTCACTAGGTCACCCAATTTTCATCTTAATCAGCTCCCAAGTTCTTTATGTACCCTATAAGTTAGTTTGGGAAGAAAAGATTTTTTTTTTTAAGTTTTCAAAAATAAGAGTTTTTTGTTTGTTTGTTTGTTTTTTTCGTTTCCCTGCAAACCTGGGGATTAAAGACAGCTCTGAGCAGTCTCCTTTCTCCTTTTTTTTATTTTTATGGCCTTTAATAAACCTCTTCTCTGTCTCTTTGGCTGAACCTCCTTCTTTGAAAGAGAGATGAGAATCATGAATGCCCCTAAAATGATGTAATGTGGTGCCCAGAGGGAAAGAGATAAGAAGAGTCTTCAAGCCTAAAGATGAAGCCATTGCAGGGAAGAGACCTCTTCTCCAGGGGCTGATCAGGACCCAGAACAGGGTCAGACCAGAAATGGACAGGGGTTGAGGGACTGAGCCTGGAGGCTGGGGGCTGTGAGGAGTGGCTCCTGTGGGTGGAGCTTCCAGCCACCTGCTTTTTGACTCTGCACTCTCTTATTTCCCCCACTCCATTCAAGCTCGTCTCCTTTCCAGTAGTCTCATCAGCTTCTAGAACCGCAATACTAGAAGGTCCTCAGCCATCAGGCCATCCAAACTGCTCAGGAAGCAAATACGTAGGAAAACACAGTGCCTAGCCCTTGGTGAGTGTTTGCTGTGTAAACGAAGGAAGCATTTATGAAAAATCTTCTCCCAGCAGGCTTTGCCTCCTTCCCTCAAATGTCAAACACTGTCACAAGAGTAAACTGATAAGTAGAAGTAAAAGTCAGGTAAAGAAAAGGCAATACAAATAGCCAATAAATGTGTAAGGAAATGCTCAACTTTATAGAAACAATGATATGATTTTAAAATTTTTTTATATTTCATTTTTTGATACCAAGAATTGAACCCAGGTGTGCTTAACACCATTGAGCACATCCCCAGGCTTAATTTTTTTTTTAAATTTATTTTGAGACAGGGTCTTGCCAAATTGCTTAGGGTCTCACTAAGTTTCTGAGGCTGGTTTTGAACTAGCAATTCTCCTGCCTTAGCCTCCCAAGCCACTGCGATTACAGGCATGCACCATTGTGCCCAGCTCAAAATGATTTTTTAAAACCAATCAGATTGGTAAAATTTTTAAAAAGTCAAAGATAGAAGAAGTTTAATAATATGAGATGGGGCTGGGGATGTGGCTGAAGCGGTAATGCACTCTTCTGGCATGCGTGGGGCGCTGGGTTCCATTCTCAGCACCACATTAAAAATAAAATAAAATAAAATAAAATAAAGATGTTATGCCTACCCAAAACTAAAACATAAATATTAAAAACATTCTCTCTCTCTCTCTCTCTCTCTCTCTCTCTCTCTCTCTCTTTCTCTTTAAAAAAAAATATGAGTGTTGGAAGGGTATGGGACAGCAGCCTTTTCATATGCAATAGGGAATATAAATTTGTATGACCACTTTGGAGAAAAATGTAGCAGTAACATTTTCAATCATTCTTTCAGAAACTCTAGTTCCAAAGGTTGAGTTGATCATATTCTTGAAGACCCATCGTTCTGGGTCCGTGTATGGCTCCTGCCTCCTTATTTATTCCTCCCTGTGCCCTGATTTATTTGCACCAGTGGATTTCAACTGGGGAGAATGTTTTTTTCTCCAGGGGATATTTGGTACCATCTGGAGACTTTTATGTTTGTCACAACTTCTATTGGCATATAGTGGGTACAGGGAACAGATGCTGCTAAACATTCCACAATGCACAGGACATATATATATTACAGCCTGAAATGTCAGCAGTGCTGAGATCAACAAATGGTGATTGACACCACTCCTTTCCCTGACATAGGTAACAATTCTGATGTGTTTAGTCTATTCTATCTTGTGTTACTATAAATGTGTGAATTGTTGCTTTGCTGTATAGCTTAATTGATGAAAATGGCATCATGTTAGAATCTCTGCATTCACAAAGGTTCATCACTTTTTACAGATCTCTTTGACAAGTTGGTGGGAACTGGCAATTCTTGCAGCAAAATAAGACAAAAAGCAAATCAATCAGACAACAAATGCCTTTACATATCACATTTGCCTGCAATTCTGGGACGTTCAGAAGTCATGGCTCAGGATCCCAGAACAAGCTGATAAGAACACGAGGCCGGGTGTTGAACAGAGTTTCCTTCCAATCTAGAAATTCCTCTATCTTTACTAATTTAAGGAACTAACTCTATTTCTCTAAGGGGGCTGATGGCATATCGGATTTCTTCCTGTTTCTCATAGTCTTCCTTACCTGGTCATTTCTGTCATCTGGATGGTGATGTCCGCTGTGTGGACACCTGTTGCTTTGAACATCCTCCCCATTTGTTCCACCTTCTTCTGGTGCAGAATTATTTCACCTGCAGGGGGGGTCTTGGTGGCACTGCCAGTCAGAGCCCTGACTTTCCTTACCCAGTGGATGAGTGCACGTGATTGGATTTCCTCTTCATTAAAATTTGCATTTGTGCATTGAGGCCCCAAACAGGTAACAGACTGTAGAAATTTATTCCACAGGCAGAGTCACTTAACTCCTGACCTCAGTCTCAGGCTCTGCCTGATTCTAACTTTTTCAAGGTCTGCATTTTTAGGTTTTTCCTTTGACTCTGTGGCACACCTCTAGATGCCTTTATTTTAGTTTAGATTCAGATTTATGTTCTACTGCTTGCCATCAAAGAACCTATCTGATGAGCTTCTCTTAGGTTTGGCTTAATTCCAGAAACATTTATATTTGTTAGTTAGCTTTTTGTTGCTAGGACCCAAATACCTGACATAAATGGTGTAAAGGAGGAAAGATTTGTTTTAGCTCATAGTTACAGAGGTTTCAGTCCGTGGTCAGTGGGCTCCCTTGCTCTGAGACCGAGGTAGGCAGAACATCATGGTGGAGGGGTCATACCTCAGACCAGGTAGAGGGAAAGGAGAAAAGCAAGATGGCCTGCATCACACAGACACAGCAGCATGGAGACCCATCAGTCAATGCTTCGGCACCTGGGAACGTGTGAAGGTTTTGATGATATGAAGACAGACCTGTAGGATTGGGTGAGAAAGATATCACCCAAGTAGGGGAGCTTGACAGACTGGTACAGCCTGCAGAAGGAGAAGAGGATCAGGAAATGTCCATCCAGATACAACAGCCTCCGAGGTACCCACAGGAGACAGCAGGAAGAGCTCTCCTGGTACAGCCTGAGGCAGAAATTTGAAAATCATCAAAACTCCTTTAAATGACCCCCCAATCACATTCAGCAAGCATTAAGAGACTAGAGTAGAAAAAAATCTATACATTTCTAGGCAATGGGGCCTCACTCAAAGAGTCACTCTGTGGAGGGTATGATGGTACCAAGACCCACCGGGAAAAAGATGGTCTTGTGTTTTTCATCTCCACTCCTCCAGGGACATCTATTCAATAAGAGGTAGTGGGCAAAACCACCTGTACTTTAAAAACAGCTCTCTCATTCTTGTAAGTGAATTTGCATGAGGTCAGAGAGTGTGTGATGTGCATGTTGGAAAAATTACTGGATCCAGTTTCAGGGGAATCCGAACTCAGCCTCTACATTTAAATATGTAGGTCACTTTGCTTCCCTGGATTTCATCGGCCTCATCTGTAAAGTGGGAGTATGCATTGTCCCTGCTGGAAGGTAGGGGCTACATCTGATGGTCTCTGAAATTCTGTGTTTGTGAAATACTAATCACATAGGACTAGTTTTTCCTCAAGAATAGAAAAAAAAAATAATCCTGCCCTTTAGTGGAGATAAGGCAGAAGAAATATTAGTGATTGTGTGGCTCTAAATGCTTAAAAGGCCTTTAATGGCATCTCACTGCCTATAGGAAGGAGCTCCCAGCTGGAGCCTGGGGGTTCAAGCCCATCATATTTCAGGTCCTGTAGCTCTAATTGTCTCATCTCTAATTGTCTGGTCTCAATTTTGAGCATATACATTGTCCTTTCCTCTGTCTCCACCTCCATTTTTTTCAATGTTGTAACAAATCGGACAATCAGAACCGTTTCCTGAGCACGTAATACACCTTCACCGACAGCACCTCTGCACATACTCTTCCCTCGGGCAGCAGTGCCCTTTCCCTCCACTTATTATCTGCCATATTCCCAATCATGGGTTGGGTCTCAGAGCCTTCTGTGATGCCTCCCCGTTCCCTGGACCAGCCCTAGTGCTCGCCCATGTTAATAGAGCCTCTCAGATGCAGAAGGAGTTGGTTGAGTGTGCATCAGCCCTTCTGTGAGCTTAGAAATGCAGCCAAATCCTAATAGGATTCCTCGCACCAGCTATTGTCCTTACCTGATAGATGGATAGTGATAAGGAAGAAATGAGGTCATGCCTGCACACCACTCAGTGCATGGGAAACACTCAG